CCGATCACTATTTCAATCGGTCACTACAGAATTCTCCTATTAGATACTAATTACATGACTAATTGACTAACATTTAAAGTGCCATCAAACATTTGAGATCATCAGCGGCCATGTCAAATAATTTGCAATCCGCAATATAGATTTAATCAAAAGACCGTTTAAGATACAACCATGACGCTGCTAACTAGAAGAAATTTCAGTTCCAGCCTTAACCCCAGTTTAGTCTTAATCCCCCTACCATATCCCAAAATTCCATAATATATCCCAGATATTTCAATATTATTTTTCTTTAAACAAATATAATAATTAATTGAAAACTTGATTACGTTCAAGCCAACTCATTGAAGTCAGACATATTCACTTTCTTAATTCCCATGAAATGTTTAATCTCCTGACTTCACGGATTTCCGGTTTGTAGGGTTTATCGAGCCAGCCACAGGAGCAGAAAAGCGAACGTCGAGTGTGGAGAGACGAAAGAGAGCTCGGGGCGGCCGGCCACGACGCCGCCTCCATTAGCCCGTTGTTCCCCCTCCCCCCAAACCCCCACCGCTGCAACTCGAGCTGCCCCCTCCCCGCGCTCCATCACCGGTGCTTTCATTTGCGTGGGCTGCGTAGCTCAGAGTTTACACAGGCGTTAAGTGTTATATGGAAGTTAAATAAAGGAAACGCTCACTTTCCTCCCAAGTCACGTACGACGGTGGAAATGTGACACTAATACAAGTGCATAAACTGTGTCAGTCGTCGAACTATGAATGGCGTTCCCTAAACACTGATCCCCTCCGGATTAATCAGGATTTTTCCCCCTCGGACAACTCGATAATCTCTAGCGAAGCCATGAGGAAGAGAAATAAATCTCTGAAAACATCTTATAGAACGAAAAGCAGGTGCTTCATATTTACGCCCGACTTGTATTGAACTTCTGAGACAAACGCGTCGTGAGTAGAAACGCACTGTTTGGAGGGTGCTGGTATCACATCACATCACTGACATTCGAAGGGAAGTCGAATAGTACATCCCGCGTGCTTTACAGTAGCATGCTCGACCATCTTTTCAAGTTTGACAAAATACGCGTGGTAGAAATGGGACTTCATATTTTTTGACAAGTTTGTACCGATTAAGTGCGACCTTAACGAAACGGTCGCTGTTGAAAATGGGTTATCAAATCTCTCGCGTAACCACGAAAGGAGGATGCCTTGAAGTCGAAGAGAAAAGGGATAAATACAAGAGTGCAGCTTACCTCTCGTAACCCTTGGTGAGTAATATAGTGCGAAAAAATCTAGCGTGGCAAGTGTCTCATTATATTATCAATAAATAATTCCTCGGCATTTTGACTTGATAAGCATGGATTCCACTGTATACATATAAAATATAAATAAAAGTATATACATTTTTCAATTTCAACACAGTTGCATACCAATGTAACTTCGTGCGCATTTCGGTGACACGAAACACTGCTGTAGGCTCGAAAGATAGTTAGCTTCATCTGGGAACAGTGAGAGACCTCGTATTCTGACGGTCTGTTGGGGACCAAGGCCAAGGGGCCGAGCATGAATAAGGGCTTTCTTAATTTTCACTCCAATTCGATACTTATACAATTGCTTTTACCCCCATTTTAAACCTAAGTACATTTTTTCTTCGGAAATAATTAGAACTATCCTCAGAGCTTAGATAACGACAACTTTCTGGGCGTTATAAAAGAAGAATCGTCAAGAAACTACTGTGCAGAAATGAAGCGTTTTTTCAGAAAAATTACATTAAAAGCATTTGAGCATCTAATTGAGAAGTCGGTGATTTTTTTCACATGAAAATACTCACCTTATTAAGCAACACTATAAATTCGAAATTAAATCACATCGCGAAAAAAATCGAGTTTTTCTCAAGAATGTAAAAAAAAACAACAAACGTTGATTTCAAAGGTCTTGTCCGTTACATTCCTTTTAAGGCCATCCTGAATATGGTAGAACATCGCAAATTCAACATCCATTACTTTGCCTCACTCGCATTTCAGCTCATCTCAGTATTTTCTTTTTCGTCATTAACAAGCTAGTACATCAGCGTCCTAATAATAGCTGAGCCAACAAGACTCAATCGCACCGATTGCGGCCGGGAAACTAATAATACCCAATCATTGGAAGGAATGGGTGTCTCGCCCATGTTCTCTCTGCCTTCAGAATGAAAAGCCGAGAGATAGTCAAGTGTCCGTGGTTTGCAACCCACTTAATCTTTCGTGCCCTGCTGTAATAACCAAGCAATGAAGAATAATTATGGGGAATGAATGAAATTGTAATGAAGGATGATAGGTGATAGCGTGAGATGAAGTAGAAGTAGAGTG